ACATCTATGGATACATTCCCTAAACTGATCACAATATCAAAGTTAGAGAGTCATACCAGTCTTACTGATGAGGGCTGCAATATCTGAGCATCATACTTAGGAGAAACTATTCTTGTAACTTGGCATCTACTTTTGAAACACTTTACAATTTTATCTGGTGAAAACCTGGGTTTGTTTATTGTTAGTCTGTGTTGCTATTTTCTAGTAATAGGCATTAGACTTCCATCCTAAAGTTTCAGGTGGACTGAAGCTTGGGGTCTGGATATTTATTTGTTTTCAATGGGCCTCCTTCATATAAATAGTGTAGTCATTTTTTTATTTGGAATGTTCATGTGCTATGCATTCTACTTTCTCTTAGTTAATAACTCAGTAGGCCTTTTGTTTACTAAAGGAAGAGTACTCCCCACACCTAAGACCAGATTCTTGTATCTACCTGGTTACAGTGCAATTTGATTTTTTTCCCCCTGGATGGTGAGATTTGAAATATTTGCATTAACATAGGCAAAAGAAAAAGATGCTGCTTTATTATGTTTGTCACCATGGAACTTAGCTGCATCTTTGGAAATATCAAATATGAAGTTTCTCTAAAAATATTCTGAAATAGGTTAAATCTTATATAAATATTACTTTGTGCAATATTGTTGTGTAGTTAAATGCATATTAGCAGAGTATAGAGGTCACTGTGTAAACCGATAGAAAAGTAAACATCAGCAAATACTACAGTGATTAGTTAGAATCTGTATTACTCCTTATATATATGTATATGTATGTATTCTCTGTTACAAAGGACGAAGACAAATAAATAGGGAAACACTTCAATGTAAACCATTTATGAATTGGAAGTGATGTTGCTTTTAGTTATCCTTGTAAATAAGGTAATTAGAATGGTATGAAAGGTAATGTGATTATTACAGGGGTGTTTTTAAATCCTGTGTATAAATTCTAGTTTATCAAACTAGTTTTTAAGGGACCTTTGAGGGTATTTTTTGTTGTTACTTTGTGGAGAAGGGGTTTATCACAAAATGAATGGGCTTAGGTTATTTGTTATTTTTATTTTTCTGTCCAGAAGAATTTCATAGAGCTTTACCAGGCTGTGCAAAGAAAAATTCTTCTCAGGCAACATTTGCTTGTAAAAATAATCATGAAGAAAAAAAGTTGTTAACGCAAAAAGTTTTATTTTTGTTTTTCTTGTCTTCCAAGATCCGATTTCCCCATCTCCCACTTGCCATCCAGCAGATGCCATCTGTCATCTAAGCTGGTCATTACTAATAAACAAGGAGACTGTCTCCTGACAGCCAGCACTGTGTGTAATCACTCAGGAACCAGCGGATCTGCAAAGACCTACAATCAAACGCAAATCTCCATTTTCCTTTTACAAAAGTCTACCCTCACCTCCAGGATAAACATATTAAAAACAATATAAAAATGTTGAAAATCATGTACTAATGAAGTCTCATTGTATATTAGATTACAATAGAATGGAAAGAAACATTTAGCTAGTAATGTATCTGGAAACTCTGAATGTCCTATGTGAGTATTAGATTTTGATAGCATGCTTTAAAGACTGATGAATATAAAAGCAGAAGTTTTGAGTTTCTTGCTGCTTTCAAAACTGTCCTAGTTGAGCGATACAAATGATCACAACTTTTCTAAATCATTAAACTATTTGGTTTGGTGGAGTGAGGCATGGAACAGTCTGGCATCCTCTGATTTGTAAAGAAACGATGGCAGTGAAGTTGTAACTGAAATGGAAGCTAATCTTCCTTTCTGGTATGTTATCTGTTGTGCCAACCCTTGAGATTACTTGCAGAATGTGGCTATATGTTTTAGTACTTTATGGATCAGAGGGATATTTAAAAATATGCTTATGGAAAGGACCTAATAAACAAATATTCCTAACAGCAAATATAATGATTTTATGGTAACCATTAAAAAGCATAAAAGTCTTCCCTTCCCCAGAGGTCATTCTGTACTTATCAAGACAGGCTAGGAGCTAGGGTTATGATTCTGAGAGGTATCCCAAATTCATAAAGCAATAATAATAACCTCCATATTGGTTCCCTGTTCCAAAGTTTAACTCTTGAAAAATGAATTCTTAGGCTTAACTTGTACTTGCTTATTAAGTACTTAAAAAGTTTTACTGATACATTATTTTTACTTAAAGACTTTTAGAAAGTGCCGTTCCCTCAAACAGTTGAACTATCAGCTCACTAATATTATAAGCTCTTGTATGGGGAAAGGAGTTTATTAAATCATTTGCTGAACTTTAGGAAAAGATGTATCAGTCTTAACAGGCATAAAGATCTCACCTAATAACTTGAGAAACTTTTGCTTATTGCTTTTCCCTGTATAAATGTTGTCTAGAAGGAGAGTTAATATAGGAACAAGACTCCAAAATCCATGAAAATATATTCCTAGTGAATATATCCTTTATCATTAATATTAGCCCATTATATTTTCATCTGTATTTGCCTTTTAACATTTATTTGTATTTATTGAGGATAATTAGGATTACTGAGTCTGTGTCTTTCTAACAAGTCTGTGTCACCCTTTCAGTAGCACATGCCAGAGGTTCCCATTTGTCTTAAGTTTCATGTTTTCATGGCACTCTGTAGCTGTACTTACTGGTCATGCAAGTAGAGGAGATGCACACCACCAGTGATTTTCTTAAGTGCATAAAGGACTTACCCTCATCCTGGAAGTCTATTGCTTTAAAAGCAAGTATCCATAAATATTATGGCCTTCCATTTTAAAAATCTTCATAAATTTTCTAGGATCCACTCGTGCATGTAGTTGAGACCATTGTCTCTTAAAATATAGCACTTTTCAATTCTCTCTAAAGAAATACTTATGTACTACTTCTATCACATGTTGTAAATTTTCATGTAATAGTGTTTTCTGTGACTAAACTTCATTTTGATTGGCAGCTAAGACTTTTTTTTTCCTGTGGCTTTAATTTATCTAAGAGGTCTTTGCATATAGATGAAATGTATAATTTGCCTGGCGGACTATTTGCGTTTGTGTGGCCTTAGTTTGTTTATTGACATTAACAAGTGTTTTAAAAGGTTTTTAATGAATAGTCTTAAATCTAAATTTGTGTGAATAATCCTTTTAACACAGTGCTTTTTTGTAGCTGTCTAAGTGTGTTAAATTGTTAAGCTATTTCTTTGTAAAATAGGACAATGGAATGCATAGTTTTTTTTCTCTGTAAAGTATTTTTTTAATAAACAAAGTCTGATTTGTCCTTTACTGATGTTTCATCACAAAATGAATAGTGCATGGGAGTTTTCATTGCCTCCCTGGAACCTGTCTGTAGAGTACTAATAGTCCCTTCCCCACCTCTTTCTCTGTGCCCTATTATTTTTAAGCTTTAGAGGAAAACCTTGGACTTCTCTTTCTTAAAGAAAAGGTCAGAAACATCCAGATTGAGGTGCAACTAGTTTTGGAGAAAATGAAGCTTTCATTTGTGACAGTTATTCTTATTGCTGCTTATGTGTGCTTAGAACTGCCTTAAGCTTTTGTTTTGGCAGAGTAGGTATTTGGGAAAATGCATGGCATAATAATGGAGATGTTTAGATGTGGATGGACTATGGGAAACAACAAAATGGGTTCTTTTCCTCATTAAACTTTGGGTGAACTCTGTAGTTGAGGTGCTTGTCCTGACAGCACTTAGTTCTCAGTAGGCATCTCATCTTGGTGACTCGTCTGTGGGTCTCATAGCCAGTAGTAGGTAGGTAATTATCTCCACAACACAGGTGAGAATTAATTTCCTAAAATCACTGGGAGTTCATTACTGGGAGCAGGGGGTTGAATGCTGTTTTGGGTTAAAAGTTCTGCCTTATACAGCAGCATCCTAATAAAACACTGAAATATTTTAACAGGGCTCCTGGAAAATGATTTGTTACTGTACTGCTAATTTTATTTCCCAAGTTACCACCGCAGCCCAGAAAACCAGTTTTGTGTGTTCAGCAATGAAGTCAAATGCTTTTGTTATTAGTGTTGATTTAGGTCTTAATTTTTTTTCTTTTACCAATTAGTTGGTCGTTGCCTTGAATTACAATGTTCAGCAATACTGAAGGGCTTCGAAGCTTTTAGTTTACTCCTTAACAGTTAAAGGGGTAAAAGCAGAGAAGACCACTGCCTAAGTGTGGGTGAAGTAAATTTTAAAAATAATTCCTGTGGGTGTTATTTTTTAGTAGGTTTACATTATGGAAAACCTTAATTTGACACCGTTTTATGGCTTATAAGAATGCCTATAGGTTGGAGACTGCCTCTTTGTCAGCCTCAAGTGACAGCTATTATCTATTATTAGCCTTACATCACCTAATGCTTTGTGCCCACGGCAAGAAAGGACACAGCTTTAAATAAGCTGAAGACAATGGCACTGGGAACAAGCCATTAATGGTGCACAAAATGTACAGAAAAGAGGAGAGCAGCTTAGAAATCCCGTGGGCATACACTCAAATATTCACAGAGTGTAACTGCCCTTTCTCCTGACCTCTGCTTGAATCACTTAAAAACAGTGTCTACAGCCATTTTCTCTTGATTTGCGGAAAGTCCCCAGCGGTGGGAGCCCTGTGCATCCTTAACTAGGCTTGTGTGGGCACCAGAAAGTCTAAGTCCCAGAGTGGCCGAGAGCCCAGGGGGAAATCGCTAAGCCACAGCCCGCCAGACCGCGTTTCAGGCCGCGTCAATTTACAAACATCTGTCCATCAACAAGAACGGAGAACTCGTGCCCGCCACTAGTTTGTGACCTCATCCCCCCAAAGGGACACGGATATGAAGTAGACACCATGCTAAACTCTACAGACCCGCACAGGAACCTCTGGAATGTCGGGACCAGCCTCCCGAGAATCGATGGGTGCTGGGAGGGTCGTTTCTGAGGTGATTTTCCGTTAAGCGTCTAGGGTTACTGGCTGGGGGGCTGGGGGCGGCGGGGGGCGGCCCAAAAGGGGGGGGGGGGGGGCGGGGGGGGGACCGGAAAGGCGAAAGCGGCTGATCGCACCCTGAGCTTTTCTAGCCGCCGCTAATCCCTCACGGACGACGCGCGCCGCTGCCCCGGCCGGGGGCTGGCTGCCGGCCTCCAGCTCTTGAGGGTGCCGAGGTGGCTGGAGAAGGCACCCTTGCCGCTTCCTTCCCATCATTTTCCAGTTGGTTCCTGGTTTCTACCATGGCCCGTTCGATGGCCGCCTAGGTCCGGCGTCTGTGGCTGGCGGGCGCGGCCCCTGGGGGGCCTGGGGGGCGGGCGGCCGCAGGGGCGGG